TGCCTCTAGAACAAGAACCAGGTCCTTGCGTTGAAATCGGTCGATTCGGGCTTGACGCCGAACTCGACCGGTTGAAACGGGACAAGCAAATGGTGATGATGGAGCTAGTTAAGCTGAGACGTGAGCAGCAGAATACAAGAGCCTACCTACAAGCAATGGAGCAAAAGCTGCAAGGGACAGAGATGAAACAGCGACAGATGATGAAATTCTTAGCAAGAGCAATGCAGAATCCAGACTTCATTCAGCAACTAGTGCACCAGAAGAAGAAAAGGGAGGTTGAAGAAGCAGCAACAAAGAAGAGGAGATGGCCCATTGATCAAGGACCAAGCAGCTCCAGAGGCAGTGAAGAAGGAACCTCAAACCCCATTAAGATTGAGCCTCTGGAGTTTTGTGGATATGAAGTATCTGAACTGGAAGCACTTGCTATGGAAATGCAAGGACTAGGGAAGGGAGTTAAGAAAGAAGCAGAAGTAAAGGAAGAGCTGCAGGGTCCAGAGAGCGAAGATACAGAGCTGGATGAGGGGTTCTGGGAGGAGTTTTTCAGTGAAAGAATAGAAGAAGACGATGTGAAAGCGTTGAGCCATCGCTTCGACTGTTTCGGTTCGACCCGAAAGTAAGGTAGCTGGAAAACACACTATCTCCATTTCTTCTGGGTAAGTAAGAAAGCAAACAAACAAGTTTTTGTCCCATATTCCAATTCCTTAATCAAACATTCCTCCAAAACCCATAACTCTCAAACTCTCTAATCATGAACAGGATGGGAAATCATGGCAAGCACAGAATTAAAAGGGAAACTGTCTTTTCCTCTCTCTTTATCTCTCTCTATGCCCTTTATTTTCACACAACAAAGCTGCTCCTCATTTTTTGCGTGGTGGGTTTTTGAAGCTGCAGGTAAATTTAGGTGGAGAGGGAGGCCACGGGAGGCAGAGGATGATACAGAATCAAGGTGTGTTCTCTGCTTCACCGTGGATTACTGCATAAAGTTTGTATGTTTGTTGCAGTAAAAGAGAGAGTGTTTGTGGCCAGAAATGAGGGAAGAGGATGCAGCAGAAGCAGCCAAGATGGAGGAGGGCCCAAGCTGGTGAGCAGCAGCAGTTGGTAGTTAAGTGGGTCGGTGTGGCTGTTTGTTGGTTTGAAATGAATTGGTCGGTGTTGAGCCTGAGTTTTCGTTGTCAACCCACTTCCAAAAAATCCCAGATATTTCCCCATTCCTTTCACCGTCCTTCTTGCAACCCATATGCAAATGCTACTCATTGCTCGTCCCACTACTTTTTTTTTTTTTTTTTTTTTTTTTTTTTTTTTTTTTTTTTTTTTTTTTTTTGTTTCTCTTTTTTTTATCGTTGTTTATATATTTATAAACTTCTCCCACTTTTTTCGGATCAATCGATCCTTATGTGAGATCTCACGTCAGTTACACAAGGTAACCAAACATTTCATACAAAGATGTGAAAATCACTTCCTATCTGTTTTAAAACCTTAAGAGGAAGCCCAAACAGGAGTAGATTGTGAGATTCCACATCGGTTGAAAAGGGGTACTACGCATCCCTTTGAAACCTCTCCCTATTGAAACCTCTCCCTAATACACCCATTTTAAAATCTTACGAGGTTTTGTTATTTATTTTAACTAATATTTCCAAACCAAAACTAAAACATGTTCTTTGAATAAGAATTCAATTTTTTTTTAATATAGAATAGTTAAAATTAATAAGAAATTTGAGGAAAGAATCTCAAATTTTAAAAACTAAAAAAATAAAAAATTCGCAAAATATGATTTAGATTATTATTTTTATTTAAAATATAATATTATTAAAATCAATATTTAGAGGTTAAAATGTCAGTTTGAAATCTCATAAACTATATATATATATATATTATTAATATTAAAATAATTTATCATAACTATTGGCATATTAATATAGAAACAAAAAACATATTAAAATTATTTGGAAAATAAAACGTAAATTGTTTTTAAAAAAATTAAAAATTTATTCAAATTTTAAGGAAAAAAAAAAAGAAAGCAAACATTTTCCTCCATAATTTAGTTTTATTTATTTTTTAAAAATAGTTTAATAATTATAATCTTTACTAACTAGCTGAGCTAGGTTGGTGAAGAGTAAATAATAAAATATAAAATAAGGTAAAGTACCTGAGGAATTTGGAGTGTTGTATTCCAATAAGTATGGATCCCCCAAGCTTCACATGATCCCTGTTTTCTTCTTCTATCTATATCTCAACTTCTCAACCAACCAAATGAAGAACCAAAAACAACATACAAACTTACACAATGTCACTCTCACCACCATAAATACACAAACAACTTGATCACTGTTTTCTTCTTCATTAAACAAATGGGTTTCTCACCTCCCATTTTCATCCATCCTTTTCAGTTCATGGAAAAAACCAGGAACACTCATCAACAAATCCCTTCTTTTCACTCAGATGAGAGTAAATAACGATAATGTTGTAGGGTTAGGCGGGTTTTCTAGTGAGATTAGTCGAGATAGCGAGCAAGTTAGTCCAGACAGTCACGGATATCCAAAAAAAAAAAAAGAAAGAGAAAAAGTAAGAAAAAAAAGAGTGAAAGTCACATGCATGATTTGGGTTTGGGTGGGTTATGAAGATGCCGAGTCTTACTTTCGTTCTCCATGCATATGGTCCCCTGACTTCGTGTTCTGATGTCTCGATTTCCTCTGTTTCGTGGAAGATTTTACAATGAGAGAGTTGCATAAAGTGAAAAAGCTTAAAAGGGAAAGCCCAAAGAAGACAATATCGGCTAGCGGTGGGTCTGGGCTGTTACAAATGGTATCAGAGCCAGACACTAGGCGATGTGCCAACGAGGAGGCTGTTCCCTGAAGGGGGTAGACATGAGACGGTGCGCCAGTAAGGACGCTGGGCCCTGAAGGGGGTGAATTGTGAGAACCCACATCAGTTGGGGAGGAGAATGAAACACATCCTTTGTAAGGGTGTGGAAACCTCTCTCTAGCAAAGCGTTTTAAAAACCTTGAGGGAAAGTCCAAGGAGGACAATATCGGCTAAGAGTGGGCCTGGGCCGTTCTTTGGACCATTGCCACTCTGCCATATATCTACCTTTTCTTCATTTTTTTACTTTTTCATTTTCAAACCCCTTCACATACACTTCACCAACAAAAATTGAGACTTCCCCCTCTATTTATATCCCCTCATCTTCATTCAAACAATAACACCAACTCTCAAACTTTGCCGTGCATCACCAGCAGTTGAAGCTGCCAGCATGATCTAACCTTCTTCTTGCTCTTCACACAAGGAAAGATCAGATCATATGGTAGCTTCACCTTTTGATGGTATCACGAGAAAATCGAATTACGACACAACCAACCACCTTCTCTTGCCTACAACCATCAATCTTACTACTTTCAAACACTTCCCCATCTCTTCTTCCTTGCAGAGTTCATCTTATTTTAGCAAATTCTTCTACACCTAAACAACCATTTGTGAATATCTCTTCTTGTTGCAGGTTGGTTTATTTGGTCGTGTCATCGACAATAATGATACACATATTTTCTAGAAAGGGTAGTGGGCGATAGCAATGGAGATTCTTGAGCTTCGCCTAAAAATGGCGTAGGAAGCAGATCTGCACTAATGCTTGCCTCTCTGCTCTGGGAATCTGTTAGGGTTTTGAGTGACAGAATTTCTCTTATCCAAAGAGGTTTTGGTGCTTTTGAGATCCCCTTCTCCATGCTTATTGCTTTGAAGTTCTACAAACATTTATTTATTATTTTTTTCTGCAATATAATATAGGCAAGTTTAAAGCTCCTGTCCTCTGGGATGGTGATTGGAATGCTTTGTCCCCTAATGGGATATTTTTATTTTATTCGGAGGAAGCATAAAAAATGAAAGAACAGTGTTTATACGTTATTGGAGGCATTATATATTCCCTTATTCCCAAACATGAACAGTCCTGAATCTTTGTTTTCAGCCTTGTTTGAATGAAGGACTCGAGACGACCTATATTCCATGGGTACATAAGCCGAATGTTCGTTCTAAGCTATGATCCTATGAATTTGTTAATCCCATGGCTACATAAACTTTAGGCTAAAAATACAGCATGAATCCAGTTTTCTATAATTCATTTGCAGCACAATCCACACATTTAGCTTCAAACTTCACAATCCTAAGCTAATTAAAATCAATTAACTAAAGCAAACTACTTTTTCTAATTAATATTCAACGAATTCCCTTTGTCATTCATCGTTCTTCTGTTAAGAGTGAAACTCAAAACAACAAAACAACAAAACAACGAACTAACCAACCTGGGTATAGCTTAGAAAATTAGAACATATACCGTCGATCAAGAAGTCAAATGTTAGAAAAAAGAAAACCATTCAAGAACAATGATGAAGTTAGTTTTTATGATTGTGTGCAAATGATTGGTTTAATAGGAAGAATGTCATATTCAATTACCTCCTTCCCACCTAGAGCAAACATATCCGACCGAATCTCATACCAGCCGATGAAACCATCGACAGCATTGACTCGAGGAATAGGAGAATGTTTTGAGGTGTTTGAGTGTTCATAGGAGGAGCTGCCTGTCTGAATCTTAGACTAGGTTGTCTGTTTACGAGGAGCCTTTTATTTTGGGCTTTGCTTTTCGTATGGCACATTTCTATTCTAAAGTTTGGTCTTTCATTAAAAGAAGAAAAAAGAACCCACATTGTATCTAAATTACAAGCATCTAATTCTTTTCCCTAAAAAATGTGCCTACAGTGGTGTGTTGTCACGAATATCGACACGCATACATATTGTACCTTCAGATATATCATGGAAACGAAATTAAGCATATCATTTTCATCATACTCACATTGATTTAACCACAGTTGCCACAAAGGATCAGAAAAAAAATTAAGCATTGAGAAGCTGCTTTCATTTGGATGCTTTGTCCGCCGTTCTATCAAACATTGAGACCACGTAGTCATCACTTAATTATAAGGATTTCATCCAGAAGGATTGGGCTGAATCAGCACTAGATCAAAGAGCCTAGTTCAAGCTGTTAGGCTGAAATATTAATTTCGATACACGTGATTCAACGCCAAGACAGTTCATATAAAATCGAGAGAAAACAGTATTGCAGGAATTCAAACTCATGATTTCTACCTCGATAATGTAACAGCTCAAGTCCACCGTTAGCAGATTTTTCCTCTTTGGGCTTTCCTTTTCGGGCTTCGCCTCAAGGCTTCAATACGTGTCTGCTAGGGAAAGGTTTCCACACCCTTATAAAGGGTGTTTCGTTCTCCTCCCCAACCGATGTGGGACATCACAGATAAATACTACTAGATCTAAGAGTTCAATATTCAAGCTATTAGTCCAGGTAACTCTAACATGAAGACTGCCTTGATGAGTTGATTTTGATCCTACCGACGCAGTGCATTAGGTGGATGACATCAAAAGCCATGAAGAAATGGGAAATCCATCCTAAGGAGAACAAAATATTCCATTAGAAAGATACCCTTCTAATTCATCATCTTCCATAGGTTTTCTTTTAATTAATAAGTACAGACTGTCCTCTTTGGCTTTCCCTTTTGGGCTTCCTCTCAAGGCTTTAAAACGTGTCTGCTAGGAAGAGATTTCCACACCCTTATGATAAGGATCACAGTGTTCGAAATTCCAACTTGACCTATTACACAATCCAAGACCAAGAAGATTCAATAAGCATTCATTCTTCATCTACAAATTGGATAGGCTCGGTTCAACCATCATTTCATGTGATACAAGCTGATTCGATTGAGGAAGAACCATTTGGAACACCGTGATCCTTATCATTTATAAAGGGTGTTTCGTTGTCCTCCCCAACCAATACGGGATCTCACAAATTCCAACAAATAGTTAACAAATTAACTATAGTATGCTAAAATTAATTTGGCTAAACATAAGTCAGTATACCACTTATGTAATTAACCAACCAGAAATAAATGCTTGTGAACCTGGAATTACCAAGAAACTGACCCGGATTGTGGTACATGAACATGTATGGCCGTCCGAACAGATATTTCCAATAATTAAGCACGGAACTAGCCTGTACATGAACACGAAGAACGATTCAATTATATTGTTTTCAGTAATCAATACAATGCCACTTGACAACAGTCACGTAAATGCATCATAATCTTGGATGCTAATGTTTTGCGCGGTAATGCCATATACAACCTTCAAAGCTCTGATACCACTTATGGTGGTGGAATGTCATAAGCAAAATGTTTTAATACCCAATTGTTGGAGCAGAATGCCACAACAAAAAAATGTTATGATACCACTTGTCGTGCCATAATGGCACAACCAAAGAGCTCTGATACCCAATTGTTGTAGTCCAAATGCGGAAGCAAAATCGATTGCACTCACACACCCACAAACAGAAATTAAGCAAAGAGACACAAAGATTTACGTAGTTCGGAGAAAAGAAATTCCCCTACATCTATGGGTAGTAGCCAATCACTATAACCAAAGTATCCATGGGTAGTAGCCAATCACTATAACCAAAGTGTTTACAAGTGTATCTTTCACACTCTCACACTACAAAGTCTCTTACAAAGTTCCTCCCAATTGCCTCTAGGCAAATACAAAAGAACAATGACTTCACAATACTCCACATGACTCCGCACCTAAAAACAATGCTAAACAAGCTTATATATAGGCATAACAATACTAATTCTCATACGTGGAATATTCATCTTCATAACAATTTACAACAACTAAGATGAACGAAAGTCCTGAAATGATATTTATAGCTCATGGTTCGACAATTGATCATGAAAACAGATTCATCAGCATGTAACAGCAGCCAAACCACAATGTGAATTATCATGTATTGAGTTTATCAATAAGAGAACAAGGCGATATACCTCTACATTGTCCACTGATCAGACCTTTTGAAAAATTCCAATTCTAGCATCCATGAACGGCTTAGAACACTTCTCCTTCGCGAAACCAACACACTTCTCCTTTGCAGCAGCCAAGCAAGCCTCCATTTCTCGCTCTTCGCACATCTCCCTCGCCTTCAAATCCAACCCCTTCTTCGATTGCATCAAAAATCCCCACCACCGCGGCTTGCATTTGTCGGAAGCAATTATTGAACAGCCAATCCTCGCGCCGGCCTCGCACTGTTCAATAATCTTCAACTCGCATATTTTGTATGCAGATTCCCACGCTTGGGGATCCCTAAATGCAAGCATGGACGGACCTGCCGAGGGATTTTCGGATTGACCGGCTCGAATTGGCCCACGAAGAAGAGGAATTGGGCGTCCGAAGGTGATAACTGTCGAAGAGGCAGAGTACTCGTCGGGATTCTGAGGTTGTGAGGACTCCATCGGTGAGCTCAGAAAGCTCATCGTCGCTTTTGTATATATATATCTATATATATATATAGATATATATATGTATATATGTATATATATGTATGTATGTGTGTATGTACATACATATATACATTTAGTTTGAAACATACGACATTGCCACAAATTTTCATCCAAAATTCCAATTTTTTAAAAATTAGTTGTTATTATTATTATTATTATTTGTAATTTAGCATATTAACTAGATAAATACTTTTACTCATAATAATAATTGGTGCAATTAATTTATTGTTAATTATATATATACAAAATTATTCGACGAGTTTAGATAAAATTTTACTTTAAAAACTAAATTTAAGATTTATTGAAAGTGGACGATTGAAAATATATAATAAGATGGAGTGAAACTCAAAATACATCGACTAGAATGATATTTAATCCATTTTTAGCTAAATGTATAGAATTAGAAACTCGAACACATGACCCCTTGAGTCAAAAGTATGTGTTTTAACATATTTTGAATTGATTTTAAATGTTCATCGAACTTGTTTGATGGTTAGTAACCTAACCATAAAATGAGGTGTAATTGAGTTAAGTTTATTTATATATTTAACACTTGTTATCTCTTCACCGAGTCTACTGTTCTTCAAGTAATTGAATGAAAGAGAAGAAAAGATCGAGACCGTAAGATAGTTCAACCCGTCAATCATCATCACTTTTGTAGCTCTTGTAAATCTATCTAGACCGAGAATCAATGAGACGGATTGGGAAGAGCTTTGAATGAAGGATTTTGGCAATCACACAATGGGCAGCTAGGATTATTAGCATAAAACAAACAAACATGAGATGAAATCACATTTCTTTGCAGTTTGAAGTGTTCTAATTTACAGTGTGAGGGCAAATGGAACCAATAAACATAAATGAAAGATTGTTCTTAGGATTATGAAGTTTTCACCCTAATCGACATAACATGTTGGAAGGACATCAACTGATTGTCATTATCCTCGCAAACTCTTCGTAACTCACTCGGCCATCGCCATCCAAATCGGCCTCTCGAATCATCTGTTCAGCCTCATCATCTGTCAATCTCTCTCCCAAGTTTATCATCACATTTCTCAACTGCACATTCAAATCATGGAAATCACTTTGTTGGTCAGCATTTGGCTTACCATTTCAGTTAAATGGACTTCACCAGGGTAACAACTATTTTCTTTGAGCTTTTCCTTTCAGGCTTTCCCCAAAGGTTTTTAAAACGCATGCTAGGGAGAGGTTTCTACACCCTTATACACCCTTATAAAGAATGTTTCATTCTCTTCTCCAACCGACGTGGATCTCAACTTAGGTTTTAGCTTTTAGACAATATAATAATATAGAGGTTTTGTGAATTGTCTTTTGACTTTTAGATTTTAAAAGTAGCCTGCCTTTTGGTTTTCTTTGACCACGACAATTGTAATCGTCCAAGCCCACCGCTAGCAGATATTCTCCTCTTTAAGCTTTTCTTTTCAGACTTTCCCTAAAAAATTTTAAAACGCGTCTACTAGAGAGAGATTTCCACACCCTTATAAAGAATGCTTTGTTCCTCCCTCTAACCGATGTGAGACCTTATAATCTACTTCCTTGGGGCCCAACGTCCTCGCTGGCACACTGCTCGGTGTCTGACTCTAATACTATTTGTAATAGCCCAAGCATACCGCTAATAGATATTGTCCTCTTTGGGATTTTCCTTTCGAATTTTTCCTCAAGGTTTTTAAAACGCGTCTACTAGGGAGAGGTTACACCCTATAAAGAAGGTTTCCTTCCCCTCTCCAACCGACGTGGGACCTCACAGCAATGGCTTCAAATCGGTTCAAAGGGGCAGGCAAAGTAACAACAGTCATAACAACAGCAGAGAGAGATCTCTAAGGGACCCTTTGGCAAAATGAAAATCTGTGTTGTGAAAAGTGTTTTGGGTGCACATCATCAGACCAAATTCAGGGAGAAGTAGAAGAAAATGATTGAAAATTTACCTCAAAAGCTGAGATATAACCATCTTGGTCCCTATCAAACACTTTAAAGGCTTCTTTTAGCTCCTCACTAACATTGTCCTGCAAAACCCAACCAACCCCTTCTCAGCCACCATGTACACATGTAAAATAGCAGTGATGTTTTGCTTCTTTACCTTCATTTTCCTTGCCATGACATTTAGAAACTCCTCAAAGTCTATCGTCCCGTTACTGTCGACATCGACTTCACTTATCATATCTCTAACTTCATTCTTGGTGGGGTGTCCATCCAATGTCTGAATTGCTGCCCCTAGCTCCTCCACCGTGATGAATCCTACAAATATCCCCACAACTTTCACTTAACAATCACCCTTAAACCTTCACCCTTTATCAACTCAAACGAAAACAATTCTCACAAAGAATAAACTAATCTTGACTGGTAAGAAGTTAAGATTTATCATAACTAAGAGAAAGATATTGAGAATTGTTGGGAGTGAGTCTCACATTGGCAGCCAATTTAGGAATGATTATGAGTTTATAAGTAAGGAATACATCCCTTAATTTAGCCATGTCAATAGGTACGAGGCTTTTTAGGAAAACTCAATAGATAATTTCATACAATTGTGGAGAGTTGTGATTCTTAACGAAAGAATGATTAAAACCGATCATGCATAGAACCAAGTTTTTTTTCTTTCAAGTAATCTGATATGAATCTATGAATTCCCAGATTCTGTTTAGCTTGTTAAGATTCAATTGAGCTCGTTAAGTTAGTGAATCTAATGAACAAACTATCAATTTTTCTAAATTGAGCAGCTCCATGATCATTAACATGTACTTCTTCCATCAACACTTGATTTAATTTAGAAAACAAGAACAAGAACAAGAACAAGAAGAAACTATAAATTTCAGGCTCATGTTTCATTCAGGCAAAATATCAAACAGGTTGTGGGCAAAAAGAAAAGGGAGAGAAAGATGAACTCACCATCAGCATCCTTGTCGATTAAACAGAAGGCTTCACGAAAATCAGCGATCTGATCTTCTGTAAGAGCTTCAGCAGCCATAAAAGCTCGGTCGCTGTAATCAACAATGGACAGAATGAACACGAGAAAGAAGAAAACGAAGGAGTTTGTGGTGAAATGCGATTCAAACGTTTATATTCTTATATACATGTTGCAATCAGTAGGTGAGCTGAAAAAAAGAGAACAATAATGTTGATTGTTCAACGGAAAAATTGAAATAGTCAAACGCGCTCAAAGAAAATTATAATCTTCCCAGAAACATTTTCTCCTCTTTGAACGAGAAAATTTCTAGATGAAAAAAAAAAAAATCAAGCGCGTGCGATTGAGATAATGGCGGGTTTCACACCCAGTTTCTTGGGGTCAACCAAATCGGACCAATTAATTTAATTAAACGCTCTGGGAAAGTTGATGAAATTTTATTTAAATAAATTCCAATCGGATTTGATTAAACTTATCTCGAATCAACGGCTGAAATTTTTTTATATTTATATTTGAAAATATTAAAAATATTTAATTTTAATTTTTTTTATTTATTTAAACAATGGAGAAATAGGTGAAATGTTAGAGAATTGAGGAATAAAAAAATTAATGAATTATTTAAAAATCTAAAGAAAAAAAATGATATATGAAAAAATTGTTATATATATATTGGATTTAATGTAATTTGAATCGAGATTAGTTTGTTAATATAGATATCATTTCCACCACTAATTAATGCTTAGTCTTCGTAAATTAATTAGTTCAGATAAAGTCAATAATTATAAAAATAAAAAAATAAATATTAAAATTAAATTATATGTTGACTTTTGGCAACTAGTCATGAAATTTCATCTATAACATTATTAATGAGCTTTATTTTCAACCAAATTTTTAAAAATAAATAAAGCTCATATATGATTCATAAAAATGGAAAAATTAAACATCATAATTTACTATTTTTTTCGTAAATAATAGTATTTTAATTAATTGAATTATTTGTTTTTTATTTTTAATTTCAAAGAAAAAAAAGAGGAAAATAATTAGAAAAAGATAGTAATAATGAAAGTGACAGAGAACTGAATCTTGACCTCTTCGATGGCCATGTTAGCAAGGGAGGGCTAAAAAGAAGGGTATTTCTGATATTTACCATTAATATTGACAAAAATAATAATTTTTAAATTATTAAAGATGGTCTCTAAATTTACAATTTTATATTAACAAGTCATAGCATGTTAATATTTTTTTTTTTTAAATGAAAGTTAAAGAAACCTATTAAAATATTTTTTAAAATTAAAAAACCTAACATAAACTTAATATTAGAATAATAGAGTAAAATATATTAAATAAATAAATAAATAAAGTTTTCATTTAGTTGAATAATTTGAAAATATAATAAAGAGTGGTCCAGGCTTAATCACGACAATATATTCAGGGATGAATTCAAGAAGCTGACCATTGACTTATGAAAAAAAAAAAAAGGCCAAATATAGGAAGGTGAAAGAGTGGGCATGAATATATAGAGACTATAAGTCCATATTTCAACCGAAACCATAAATGACGTACTCCTTACCTTGCTCGACACGACTCGAGAGAGATATACCTTGAATTTATATCATATTGTTCTTAGGAGTCGTATATGTCTTGACACTCCTAAACAAGATTGCAGCTCCAAAAGCGACATCAATATTAAGAATTAATCGATACCTCTCACAAATACACGTAAAAATTAACAAAAATCTAGTCCTTATACTAAACATAACTTGATTATTAATTCAAATTTTTATAAGTTTGTCCATCAATATTTTAAGCCTGATCCTGAAGTCACTCTGACCATAACATGACATAAAGGGCAAAGGGATTGGTCCTATGGAAGTTCTCTGATTCCAAGAAAAGTTTGAATCCGAATCATACACATTTCTGATGGGTATTCAATTCGTTATCAATGTAGAAAAAACAAGCAGCAAGAAACAAAGAGTGATACAACAAGAAAACTAAAATTGCACCTGCAAGAGTAGAATGGATATCAGCTTTGAATCCTTCTTCCCAGCTCAGATTGGTTGACCTTTTGGAACAATCTGATCTTTGATCCACATGTATATGGGAACAAGCACATAGTATGTAGCTGCCATGGCTCCCAGAAGGAAGCGACCCAGGAACACGAATGGATTTACGGGTTTTGACACGTCCTCTTCCTTCGGCCCAAGCTGCAAACAAATACATTATGAGATAGTTACAGATTTCACACTGCAGATGATCATCGTGTTCATAATTGTTTGTGGCTACCTACACTGAGTGTACATGTTCCATGTCATGATTTTCAAAGAACTGATTCTGCATGATGATCATGTTCTTGGCTTTTGCACATGTTCAGCCATTCGGAATTGTTAGTGGGTCCGACTGAGTGTTCATATTCGAAGTCTTGATTTCCAAGAACCGAACCCATATGATAATTCATCATTGTTCTGGTTGTTTTTGCAGATACATCTTAGCAAAGATACAAAAGAACCCCAAGAAGTCTTGGAGCAGCATCAACTATGTTTTAATTGTTGAGAATTGTTGGAAGAGGAGTTCCTCGTCGGTTAATTAAGAGATTGAGCAGCATCAACTATGTTTTAATTGTTGAGAATTGTTGGAAGAGGAGTTCCTCATCGGTTAATTAAGAGATTGATCAGTGGGTTTATAAGTAAAAAATACATCTCCATTGGTACGAGGTTTTTTGGGAAAACCAAAAGGAAAGTCATGAGAGCTTATACTCAAGGTGGACAATATCATACCATTGTGGAGGTTTGTGATTTCTAACATGGTGTCAGAGTCATGCCCTTAACTTAGTCATGTCAATAGAATCCTTAGATGTTGAACAAAGAAGTTGAGACCCTCGAAAGTGTAGTCAAAAGTGACTCAAGTATCGAACAAATGGTGTAGTTTGTTTGAGGGCTCCAGAGAAGGAGTCGAGACTCGATTAAGGGGAGGCTCTATGGTGTACTTTGTTCGAAGAGAGGATTGTTGAGGATGGTTAGAAGAGGAGTCCCACATCGGCTAATTAAGGGGTTGATCATGGATTTATAAGAAAAACATCTACATTACTATGAGGCGTTTTGAGAAAATCAAAAACAAAACGATCGAGAGTTTATGTTCGAAGTGGACAATATCCTACCATCATGGAGAGTCGTGATTCCTAACACAACATAGGTCGAAAATGGTTAAAAAAAGTACCTGCAAAGGAGAGTCGCCGGAGGATGGTTTCACACCAGTCACAGAACATCCCATTATTAGACCGTGGCGACGAACTCCTCGATACCATTTTGGACCAATCCTTTTCAATTGGACGTCAGTAAATCCAGCATTTTTGAACCACTGGATATACTCCTCTTCCTTCGGGAAAAGCATCCACACATCTGCAAAGAAACGAGATAACCAAAACGTTGGGTACACTGGACCAATCAAGCATGCTTTTCCTCCAAGCTTTAGGACCCTATATGCTTCCTTGATGCCACGCTGTGGGTCTGGCCAATATTCAATACTGAGCAGAGAAATCACAAAACAAGATCAGAGATACCATAAACATATCTCCCTCTCTTGTTCTCCCACAATTGCAGATTCCTCTAGCTAAATTATGAGCGAAGATTCCTCTAGCTAAATTATGAGTGAGAATGACCCACTTTTTAAATTCGGTGTTGAGAGGGGTGTCCCATATCGACTAATTAAGGGGTTGATCATAGGTTTATAAGAGGAACACATCTCCATTGGTAATGAGGCCTTTTGGGGAAACCAAAAGTAAAGCCATAAGAGCTTATGCTCAAAGTGGACAATATTATACCATTGTGGAGAGTCGTGATTTCTAACATGGTATCAGAATCATGTCCTTAACTTAGCCATGTCTATAGAGTCCTTAAGTGTCGAACAAAGGGTGAACAAATATCGAACAAAGGGTGTACTCTATTCGAGTGCTCCAGAGAAAAGGAGTCAAGCCTCTATTAAGGGGAGGCTGATCAAGGGGCTCCATATGCCTCAGAGGAGACTCTACAGTGAACTTTGTTCGAGGGGAGGATTGTCGAGAGGGATATCCCACATCGACTAATTAAGGGTTGATCATGGTTTATAAGTAAGGAATATATCTCCATGAGGCCTTTTGGGGAAACCAAAAGTAAAGCCACGAGAGCTTATGCTCAAAGTGGACAATATCATACCATTGTGGAGAGCCGTGATTTCTAACATGGTATCAAAGTCATGTCCTTAACTTAGTGTCAATAGAATCTTTAAGTGTCAAACAAAGGGTGAACAAATATCGAACAAAGGGTGTACTTTGTTCGAGGGCTCCAGAGAAAAGGAGTTGAGCCTCGATTAAGGGGAGGCTAATCAATGGGCTCCATAGGCCTCAAAGGAGGCTCTATGATGAACTTTGTTCGAGGGGAGGATTGTTGGGAGGGGTGTCCCACATCGACTAATTAAGGGTTGATCATGGTTTATAAGTAAGGAATACATCTCCATGAGACCTTTTGGGGAAACCAAAAGTAAAACCATGAGAGCTTAGGCTCAAAGTGTACAATATCATACCATTATAGAGAGCCGTGATTTCTAACCTTAATATGGTAATGCAAGATTATAGATAAACATATTCCAAATTTGATCTTGTTTCAGAGTGATTCACAAATTTCACTTAAATGGATCCCCCCATAATTCAGTTCAAACTAGTAAATCAACATAAATAAATATACATTACCAAAGAACATGCAGAAAAAAAGCTAGAGAAGAGTTTGAGCAGCATACCTTCCAGCAGACACATATCTATCAGCATAATCAGTAGGAAATGGAAGATCCTCAGCATCCCCTTCAATAATTTTGCAGTCTTTCAAGGCCTCTTTCTGCTTAGCCTTGGCAAGCTGATGAGGCGACTGATCCAGAATGGTTACATTTTTGGCATCCACATGCTTCACTATCCCTAAAGTGGTGAATCCAGTGCCACCACCAACATCCACCACAATCATATTTCTGTCGCTGAGATCCGCTGGCTCAAGAGCTTCATCCCTCATGTCCTCAGTCCAATGCCCAGGGTTTATGACGTGGTCGTACACAATGGAGAGGAACCTATAAAACCAGAATGCCTCTTTCTTGTGTTGAATAAACCTAGGCTGAGAAGCCGGCCGCGAAGCGGAAACACTGCACTTAGGCGCCATGGACACGGCCTTAGAACACCGAAAACTGGAAACTAAACCTAATTTGGGGAAATTCCTGCCGTGGAGATTGGAAGCCGAAAAACCCAATTCCCTGGTGATCTTGAGGCATTCAGCTCCACTGAGCATTGCGGAAACCATGATTTAAAGGGAAAAACAAACCACAAGGCAGAGATAGTGAAATTGACGA